TGGGTAACTGTTGTGGTTTCTAAACACTTAACACTATTACTAAAGTTGCTTAAGTTATTATAGGCAGTTCAGAGAACTGAGTCTGTGAAGGATTTAAATGAGGGAAGGGAAGTGACTTGATGAATCTGAGAAGGAGCAAGTGTATGAGCAGTGAGTAGGCTGCAGCTGAAGAGGTACGAAATGGGATCCACATAACCAGCAGAGCTAGGAGAAGTAAGAAGAGCCAAATGTAGGTGTATAGAAAAGAAACAAACACAGAGATCCTAGAAACTGGGTATGGATATATTATAAGGAAATAAATGGAAATTATGTCACAAACAAATGGTAGTGTGAGAAGAACATGTGCATTTAATGTATAAGGTAATGTGTTCTTTAATAATACCTATATAGCATGTATGTAATTCAGCAAACTGTTGAACCAGGGATTATTTCATGGTAGAAGCCACTAATTATGTTTTTATGAAATTAAAGATGGTTAAGGCTAGATTTTGAAAAGCTTAATAACATTTACGTATTGTCTTATTCCCATGCCCCATGCTGACGGAAACTGTATTAGCACAAATAATAATGGTATTACTTCTGCTTGCATTGTGAAATGAGTATTTGTCAGGCTGATTGGAGAAGGCAAAACCTGCCCCCTTTTTAGTGGGTCTAAAAGCTTTTGGGCCCTACAATAAATTTAATAAAAAAATCTATTATAATTATCTCATCAACTTTGTGTAGTGGTCTTTACAATCTTTATGAGAAAAGAATCAAGGATACTATGAAATTGGATCTTTTTTCTGTGGTCTGTTTATGCTAAATGTTATCTAGTATATTTAGTCACTTACAGATGCCTGATAATACTAGCAGCATGATTTTCTGTGGGCCAAATTGGTTTGCTGGTGTATTACCTCTATTTTAAGTTTATAAAAGAAAGTTCGCAACATATTTATGGCTTCCAATATTGTTTTCTAGGAAAAAAAATGTTGCTACCCATAAAAAGGGGGAACTGTAGTAAAAAATACAGATAAACCCCTCTAACAGAAATATTTGCAAGAAAACTAAGTTATATTTTACACATTCTTCAAAAAGGAAGTTATTTGTATTTGTATTTGTTAATTAGTGCTTCCCAGACAAATGATGTGTAGTTGGAGCACTTCTAAGTCCTATAGAGGATGATAATCTTCCCTGGAGGATTAGGTCTTAATGCTTTTTTCCACAGAAAAACTAAATCTAAATTATATTTAATAGTCTGATACAGAGCCACACTCAGTTTGGAGTTGCAAAGGGTATAGTAACTATTACGGGCATCATTGCATTTGGAGACAGCTGATTCAGTCGATAACTGCATTTATTGGGACAATATTGCCAAATACTTTTAATAAATATTTATTTGTGTCAATCACTAGGACTCACTAGTTTGGTCATTTTCTACAAAAGTAGAATAATAAACACACAAGGCAGTTGTTCGATGACCTGAATAATAATGCATGCATTCTTGCATTTCTTGTGCCTGAAACAAATTTATTTTATACATTAAATAGCCTCTCCTTAGTTGCATTTCGACAAAATTAGCCCACGTGAGCTTTTCTTACTAAATTTTGTTTCACATGCAATTATCATTTCATCTGCAATTCTTGTAATTTATATTTCACTTATTAGTTTAATCAGCTATTTTTTCAAAGGGCAGCATCATAGGAGTGATTCAATTATTTTAAAAACAATTAAAAAACAAGCGAATTGTAAAGCCATTTAACAATGGGATTTGGAGCTGAAGTATGCAGATAGACTTCACAAATTGGGGTTTTTGTACATTTTAGATAATTCCAGAAAGTGTTTGAAACCAGCTAATCACAAAATGTCTTAATTTCTAAAGACACCAAAAATCATAGTATCCTGGGCATACCTACTGTGCACAGAAACTTTACTAAGCACCAATGCACTCAGAAATATCCTGGTTGGGATGTGAGAGCTGAGCACATAAGCTTCATCGTGAGAGATGCCTCACTTCTGGTTAACTGTCTTGAAAAGCCATTTGTGGTCCTATCATGACCAACCCTTATCAGTCTGTGAGCCAGAGCTGCTGTTCCAGTCTCTGCTTTTGGTGGTACCTCATTTATTGCTGTAGTCCTTGTTAATATGTTTCTGGAGTTGCACACTTCTGCCAGATACCCCTTCTTTTGACTAAATGCCACATCTTCTGGGCAACTGATTATATACAATTGGATATTCTGAAATATTCAATGGTATATAACTGATTAGTCATCCATACTATTATACTAATATTAGCAGCAGTATTACCTATATAATTACTAACAGAATAATTATAATTATTATAATAATTAACTAAACTAACATTTTTTCTGTTTTTCATGTACTGTTTTTCATGTACTTTATGTTCAGTAGGTCACTAAGTTCTCTAAATCAGAGAAATGCAATAACTGAATTGCTGAGACCTTCCATCGTCACAGTAAAAGAAGTTAAAAATGAGCGTACAAAGATTTTAATGTACAGCATAGACCTCTTATCCTCCAGTGAAGCTCATTTTGCACTAGTGAAGTAGAGTTTCATTATCTGTTCTAGTATCCAGAAGATTCTGGGCTTTTTCTTTCCTTTCAGTACTTTTCTGTGTTTAAAATTTCCTTTTGCTATTCTAAAGAAACTATACCCCAAATCCCACTGGAAATAGTCTGATTACTCCTCTCGTGTAGTAGCTAGGCAACTGGCAACAAGATCTTTTGCACAGATATAAGCATTTGTCCTTTTTTTCTGATTTTCTGGGAAGAAGAGTAAAAGGAACCAGTGTGCAGCAGGGATTTAGCAGTAAAGAGAGCAGAGAGGTAATCTTCCTTTTGGGTTACAGCCTTATTAAATTGATATGCTGATACATATACACAAATTCAAGAGGGGAAGGTAACTTCTGAAGAGAAACACAAAGAGCCTTGAGTCCCAGTTGGTCCCCTTTTACTCAGATTTACAAAATTAGAGGGAACTATTGATAGATTATAGAGGCTTTAGAAAACAATAGATGTTAGAAATATATCAGCAAACTTTGTACATAAAGGTCATCAATACTTTGGAACAATATAATTGCTGTTAGTTTTCACAGTATATTTTATATTTGTTCAGTTTGGCTTTCTGGAACCTTTCATGCTTTGTTTCTGTGAGAAAGGTGTTACGGATCTTCCTGCAAGAGCAGCAAACAAAGAAAATAACCTTTCAGTGTGCATAGCATTCAGGTTAAAAGTATTCAACTGTACCAGCTGAAAACGCCATATGATTTTACAGTTTGGTTTTCAAATAAGTAACTTCATATGTTTGTTGTATCACAGGTACAGGAATGGCTGTGCTTAAACTGCCAGACCCAGAGGGCAATGTCAGGGCAACTTGGGGATATGGGCAAGGTGCCACTTCCGAAAACAGGCCCTTCACAGCCGGTATCCAAACCGCCTGCTACTCCTCAAAAACAGCCTGTGCCCGCTGTCTCACATTCCCCTCAGAAGACTTCCACACCGCCTACTCCAGCAGCAGCAAAGCCGAAAGAAGAACCAGGCGTTCAGAAGGAAGTTCCAAAACTTCAGCAGGGGAGACTGGAAAAAACATTGTCAGCTGATAAAATCCAACACGGAATTCAAAAAGAAGATGCAAAACTTAAGCAGGGAAAACTTGTCAAGACACCTTCAGCTGATAAAATCCAACGTGCTTCTCAGAAGGAAGACCCAAGACTCCAGCAAACAAAACTGACAAAGACAGCCTCATCTGATAAAATTTTGCATGGAGTTCAGAAGGAAGACATAAAACTGCAAGAGGCAAAATTGGCAAAGATACCCTCAGCTGACAAAATTTTACATGGAATTCAGAAAGAAGACCCAAAACTCCAACACATGAAAATGGCAAAGGCACTATCAGCTGACAAAATCCAAACTGCAGCTCAGAAGGAAGATGCACAACTTCAGGAGGTCAAATTGCCAAAGGCAGTTTCAGTTGATAAAATCCAACATGGAATTCAGAAAGAAGATCCAAAACTTCAACATGAGAAAATCATGAAAACTTCATCAGTGGAGAAAATCCAGCAGGAAGCTCAAAAAGAAGAATCAAAACTTCAGCAAGGGAAACTGTCAAAGACACTTTCAGCAGATAAAATTCCTGCAACAGTAAGTTCAGACCAAAAGAAACCCCTAAGCACATTGGAAGAAGATAAAAAACCTGTGCTCCCAGAAAAGAGCACACCACATCCAGAGGACAAAAAAGAACAAATTACAGCTGAGACTAAAGACCATGTTGCTGAAAAGAAAGCAGAAGTTGAAGCATCTTATAAGGGACTGCAAGCTAAGAAGCAAGATGATGTTAAGGAGGGTTTGACAGCTGGTATTTCACAAGTGGTTTTGAAAGATGAAAAATCTCGGGAAGAAGAAATTCCTGTCCAGACAGCACCTTTGCCAGGAACTGACCATGTGGAAGCAGTGCGAGAAAAAACAGTAAGTGACATTTGCCTCCCACCCCCCTTCTCCCTTGCTGCAATTTAGAATCTGATGCTGACAGACCCTCTCCTTTATGTCTTCCTGCTCTTTGTTGTTATTCTTGGTATGGGATGATTCTAAATGATAAAATCAATGACTCCCATTGAGTTAAAGTTTCATCAGTTGGTCCTGTGCTCTACATGCAACTTTTCAATACTTCTTGCATGATTTTCAGTCTCAAGCAGTTAAACATTTGAAACAAAGGTAAAGTTCCTGTTTAATCATTTTTCCAATATTTCTGATTTATTTACCTGCTTCTGTAGACTCTCTGCACTTTAGAGTTTAATTGTTGAAATTGGAGTGTTTTCATAGTTCCTAATCCCAAAAGGGAATAATCTGTGATGGTAAGGTGTACAGTGTTCTGCAATACCAAAACATAATAAACATTTGAGGAATACTTTGTGATGCCTGAACATGGCATGTTAAAGTTTTTTTACATCTTTTTACTATTTCATTTGCTTATCTCATACGGACAAGTACTTTTAGGTAAGGTTCTTGGTGGGCTCTCAAGTCAGATGAATGGATGAGTTTATGATAGCATGTACTAGAGGTCTGCATTTCTTAAATAAATACATTTGCTGGATGTGAAGTCACCAACAAGTCACTTTATCAGCTGAAGTGAGTAATATACACAATTTGTTGAGAAATGAAAATTGATGGTTTTTTATATCAGCACCGCAAATTAGGTGCTGATTATTATGTTATGAAAGTAGGAGTAGGTTTAGAAAAAGTGTTTAACCTTTGCCAAAATTATGTTTTCAAATAATGCCAGTCAAAAAGGTCAAGTTTTTTTTTTTGTTTGTTTTATTTTTTTCCTCGTGATAAGCAAGATATTTGGACAGAAAAATATTCTGATTCAGAAATTTTGCTGTGGAAAATACTACTATTTTTATAAACCAAGTTTCCTGTCTGAAATATATCTCCCATCAGATGTTGTATTTCCTCCTCTTGATGGCATCAAGAGGTATGGTGTCCCCTGATTGTACCAAGGGAATCTGTGACTTATGCTCAGAGTAACATAGCCAGAAATCCTCCCTTCTGGAAGAAACAAGAAGGAGATCTAAAGAAAATTGTATATCGATTTGATTATCTTGTATCAAACATTAGACGCTATTGCAGGACTTTTCAAGAAGCGTAGGCTTAATTAACAAAATGTCGCTTCTGGGGATTTTTTTTAACTCATATCAGAAAACCTAAGAAATAGACTTAGAATTTTGTTACTGTTGTTAAAAATTTGGGGTTTTTTTTCTGTTGAAAAACATTTGTAAGGGAAAATTTTCATCACATGCTAGTATCAGTCCTGTCTGGTCATTTTTATGTGCTATAAGGAGGTGAAAACATATTATAGTCTGGACAAATCTAAGATACATATATTGAATTTCCATCTCTGATAGCGATAGATTTTAATTGTAGATTAATTAGTGGTTTCTAATGTGGCACACACATATATTTCACTCTTATTTCACTTTAATTGTAGATTAATTAGTGGTTTCTAATGTGGCACACACATATATTTCACTCTTATTTCACTTATATTTTCTAACTGAAATCAGGACTTCTTGAATTAATACCATAAATAGGGATTACCTTTCTTTTGCTCTTGTTATCAGACTTTGGAGCACACTTAGCTAAAGTTTGTAAAGCAGAAGATTAATGAATAAAAAAAAAGACAACATACATATCTACTTGTAAGTATTTTTAAAATTAGAACACTTTGAAATACAAACCAGAATTGAATTAATGAAAAAGAAATAGCTATTTTTGCACAAATAGACTTTTTTTCCTTTTTTCACCCTTTTTTGCTCCTTGGAAAAATCCTAAAAAAAGTAAAAAATAAGAAGCAGCTCAAATTGTTCAGAATTCAGAATAAAGCTGGTGCCTCGCCTAGCTTGTACTTCATAAAAATAACTCTGGTTTTTTATTTATTTTTATTTATTGAAGTGTTTTAATGTTCTCTGTGCTGTACATGAAACATTGCTAGATACAATTCTTCCCAAGAGAGCATGTGACAGAAGTGGAAGAGGAGATAACAGTTTATATATCACACATTGATTCTGTTTCAGTGGGTAAAGGACAATATCTAGACATTGAAGAATATATTTTACATGTATTTCCAGACAGAATCATATGAAGGATTTCGAGTAGGTGTTATTTTTAAATAGGGATGCAAGGGACAACCTAATACTTTCTGCACTTGACAAACTGCTGGTGCCATTTTATATCCAAATCTGTGCAAATGGTAATTACTAACTCTTTAGTATTCCAGTGAGAGAAATAAATAATACTATTGTCATTTTTCACTAAAAAAAAAAAAAAGATAGCAACACTTCAACAAGTCCCTAAAGACATGGAGAGGCTAAAGTTCTGATTCAGTAAAATCTGTAGAATGATCCTTGGAAAATCACAGATATCAATTGTATTTAGAGATCTGTCAACCTTTGAAACAAAAGTGACTTAAATATTGAAACATTTTTGAATATTTGGGTCTCAAAGTATGATTTAAGATATTGTAAAGCCATTTTCTTCTTCAAAACATTCTTTTTTCAGTAATATTTTAAACTATAATTTCTTCAAAAAGATTTTAAAGGTTTTAAAGAATAAAGTGACTTTGCTCGTGATGTACAGGTCTTTTTCCTGAGAAACCATATTGTAATATTGACTATTCACATGTGCAATAGCAGTTAGCTGTTCTAACAAGGATGCCTAGACATGTTGGACATACAGTTTCTCAGTATAAAGCAGTCATCTTGGAACTCACAAATTAACACATAAGTATTTCAGTATATCTACATGAATGCATTACCGTGGTGTAAACTGGACATATATTTACAACACATCAGCTATATTGTATAAGTGCCCTTATTACTATCTTCTTATGTTTGCTGAGGAATGATTGTGTGCTTAGGTTGAGTAGTCAGGTAGAAATTAATATATTGTAAATTGATATCATTATTCTAACACATGCCATTAATGACAAAACACAGACCAGGGAGCCAGAATGAGGAGGAAAAGGCTTTTCTGTAAGCAGTTTTTCTGGACACAAATAAAATGTTTCATTTTGATAATATGAAATTCAAATACAGATTAAACAGTTTAGTCAACCAAAGTCGTCTTTTCACTCTCTGAAACTTTTTTTTTTTTGATAATGCAGATATCTTTACTTCTTCTATAAACAGAATGACCTTTTAAAAATCATAAGTTCTTTGCAAAATAAAATTTCTGTTCTGTGCAACAGAATGTAATCTTGCTAACTATAAATAATTTAAGAAACTGACAAGACTTTTTTTTTTTAATCACAGTTTTATTTTAATAGAGTTCTGATTGGATTTGATAACCAATGGGACTTTTTAAAGCACTAAGTTTTATATTTTCAAATAATAATATTAAAAATGAGGAAGTGTAAGAATAAGTAATACTTCTAAAGCAAAAACTTCTAATGCAAAATAGTTGTATGATGTAGTGACACTGACATTGTAGAAATGCCACTAGAATAGTACAAGTACATCCTACATTAGATCATTTTTACCATTAGTTAAAGAGGTTGCATTTGCTGTTTTTAAACAGTCTTATCCAGCCTGCAGGTTTTATAAGTCTCCTTGTTCCTCATTTCTCAAGAAGATCTTCCCATCAATGTCTGTATTAGAGCTAAATTTGTCCAGTATTAAAAACTCACAGTAGGCAAGCTTTCAGAAAAAATGCCATTCAGCTACTCGGAAAAGCCCAGTAATTCATACATACACCAAAGTAATTCCTACTTTACAAGAAAAAAGCAGGTTTTTTTTCTTATTGATTAAAATACATTTTTCATTCTCCAAGAACTATTGAATATATATATGATCCTTAGCAACATTTTTTCTGCAATATTTTGTTATTCTTCTAAAAATCTTACGTTTATGGCATGTTTACAAGTTTGACAATGATGCTGTCTTTGTGTATGTGATGGCCAACCCTGTAGAAAATAAATTACCAGTCATTTAAGAATAGATGTAGCTAATGACAATATCCTAGTTCTCAGGCTGTAGGAAATAATAGGGAAAAAAAGTACAATGACCAAATATTATTTATTGTAAGTTACATGCATATGATCTCGAAACATGATGTGCAGGATAATTTTTACATGATGTATCACAGGGCAGACAACTATATATACAAAAATGATAGAAAATGTATTCATATTGTGGTAGCCTTAAAAAGAAAGTTGGATTTTCTCATCACATTTATTTCTGGTGATAAAAGAAGTCCTGCCTTATTGTAGATCTTTTCCTTCTCCTTACTGTACAAATAGAGGTCTTCCCATATTCAGTTTCCTGTTATTCATAGCAGTGACGTTATGGCATACACTGAGGTTCAACAACAGGGCGGGCAATAGCAATACTCATTACCATCTCTTCTAGTTGGGTCATCGAGTAGGTGCTACACATTGGACTCACAGATAATGGCACCATCACAAATCACAAGGAGAATGGCTAAAGTTGTTCCATGACCAGTTGTTGTCTACCTGTTTCTGAGCTTAACTGTTTAGTTGACACCTTCTGTCTCTGCTTTACAAGTCGCTGTATCACTTCATCTCCCTGTGGAGGACCAAGATCTGGCAGATTCACTTTCACTAGCTGGACACAGTCTGTCCATCAGCTCCTAGGAAGCCTTCTGAGCTTGAGCAATGTTTGGGTTTTCTAGTAGCTCACCTAAATTGATCACAGTGTCTTTGGTTGGGTATGTCTTTATAAGTATGAACATAGTGGAAATAAAATAAAAAATAATCAATAGGTGAAATTTTAGGGAGGGACATGATATTTCTAGATGGAAAAATCCCTTGGTTTTAATGAAATGTGTATTTTTTAAAAACATAGCCCAATAAATTCCCTTTAAACACGTTCTTCTTTAATAAAGAAAACAAAAATGTAAATATAATATACAAAACCTAAAATTTTTAACTATGCTTCATTGCTGGCTTTTTATGAAGAGTATATATAATTCTGTCGTAAGGGCTGGAGAATATCCAAGAGCACATTTTTCAGAATAATAAGTGCTGAAGTGTTTAAGTGGTAATGACTTCACAAAGTTGTTTGGAATACTATAGGTTTCTCCATATTTATATATTAATCACAGCCTTATCATTAGAGTTGTCCTTAGAAATATTTGTTCTCATATTTTATTTTTAATTGCAATGGATTGTGCTTTGATATCAGATATTTGGATTTATCATATTGGGTACAATATTGGTAAGAACAGATGTAGTTTATATTCAAGGCTTTTGCAAAGCGTATAATAAATCACGCCTGTGAAATGGAGATTACTTAGTAAAATATTAATTAGTAGGTTACTGTAATATTAATATTAGTGTTTTAATGTAGGATTATGTGCACAGTGATATGTATATAGGCAATAACAGGTACTTTAAATGTAAATTAAATAATGAAAAAATGTGATTGGTTTTTAAAAATAAAATAACTGACAATAACAAATATTTGGTTTATGATATTTTGGCATTAAATATAACTTTAGCAGGAATAAACTTGTGAAAACACTTGTAATTGCTAGCAACTTAACATGAGTGTAAATGTACCTTTATAATTAACCATTGTCATAATTTTCTTAATATATTTACTCCACAGTATTTTTTTTAACTTGGCATATTGCCAAGAAAGTTGATAAATTAAAGCTTTAAATAAATGGTTTGCTGTACTTCAGAAATCCTTGACTTAGATTAGCAAAGTTGATAAATGCTACCTACTTGTATTATTGAGGCCCAGAACAAATATGAAGATCACATCATATTTTTAAAATCAGGAGACTTCGGAATGCTTGTTCTCAAATTACTAGTGGAGGTGGGGACACTTTGTAAGATTGTCAGCTAAGATGACAGATAAGATGACCTGTAATTTGGAGAGTGAGCTGTTTTGTTAGCCGAATGGTGAGGTACTTTCTCTAAGTACAGAGCATTTCACAGTTGAGAGGAGCAGGAGGGCAACTCTGGCGTGGAAATACTTGCTGTAGGATATTCTTGGTATTTTTGTTATCTAAAGAAGGAGATAGAGGTGCTTGTCATACAGAATGGTGTAGAAGGATCTGGAAGCTAGGAGAATGACTAAGGGTGTTTAATTAGGGATGAGAAGGAAAACATTGGTTATGATGCTCAGTCAGGTGTGCCTGCCTTGTTTGCTTCCTTATTTCCTTTGATCAATACCTGACCATTGTGCTTTCCTCCCTGCAATCACACTTCCCTACCAGCAGCTTACCTCTGCATGACAAATTTACGGGGAAACTTTTTTTTCATGAGGTACTCAGAAAATAGTTGTACAGTGCCGAACTGTAGATATGGGGACATTCCAAATTGCATTAAATCATGCTTCAGTACTCCATGAATTCCATTGCATGTTAGAATGTGTAACACTGAAATCAACAAAATGAAACCATAAGCCCAAAATTTGAGAAGATTGACGTATTGCTAAATGATTATAAAAGATTAAATGGGCAAAGAAAGGCACAGCACCCAGAAATATTGCAGGCTGGCGTTTGGCAAGCTATATTGCTTTGTATCTAGAACTATGTAGGCAGTTTTGAAACATAGGTAGTTAAAATGTTCATTTAAATTAACCCCCAAACTACTTGTCCCATGCATATGAGAACAAATGATAGATTATCATTAATAAGTGTTCTGAAAAAAATTAAATACACTGTTTGTTTATATTGAAAAATAGAAGATCATCTCGCAGCAAATAAAATCAGTTGCCAGTGTGGACAGCCATGCAAGGCATAGTTAGATTCAATGCAAAAAGTCAAAATTTGAGGAACTTTTTGTATTATTTTAATAGTTTTGAATAACAAAATTAGTGTTCAGTCTTTTATGGTTTCATATAATTCTTCTCGGCATCATAATTTTTCATCTGAGACATTAACTCATCTTTTAGAAAAAAAATCACATGTATGTAATTGCCTGGAGACATTAAGAATTTATATATAAATATATACACACGCATATGTATTTATTTTTCTAGGAAAAGGAGGATGACAAATCAGACACATCAAGCTCTCAGCAACAGAAAAGTCCACAAGGTCTGAGTGACACCGGGTATTCTTCTGATGGGATATCAAGTTCACTTGGTGAAATTCCAAGTCATATCCCCAGTGATGAAAAGGATTTACTCAGAAAATCTAATAAAAAAGACACTATTTCACAAGAAAGTCCACCAAGCCCCTCAGATCTAGCTAAATTGGAAAGTACTGTACTGTCTATTTTGGAAGCTCAGGCAAGTACACTTTCTGATGAAAAATCTGCGAAAAGCAAAGAGCTTTATGAAACGTACAGTGAACAGACAAAGGATCAACATAAAACAAAGCCTTTGCCCGTCACTCCGGAATCTTACAGTTCAGATGAGGAAGACTTAGACACTATTCAAGAAGGTGAAGGAACCATTGTAGAAGATGGCAAAGGAAGTGCTTCCTCCCGGGCAGACTACAAGGAAGAAGAGGAAGGAGATGACATATTGGCAAGAAGACAACGCTATGATTCTGTGGAAGACAGCAGTGAGAGTGAAAACTCACCTGTCCCAAGGAGAAAAAGAAGAGCCAGTGTTGGTTCTTCAAGCAGTGATGAGTACAAACGAGATGACAGTCAGGGATCAGGTGATGAGGAAGACTTCATTAGAAAACAGATTATAGAGATGAGTGCTGATGAAGATGCCTCAGCTTCTGAAGATGATGAATTCATTAGAAGTCAACTCAAAGAGATCAGTGTAACTGAAAGCCAAAAGAAAGAGGAAGTGAAAAGCAAAGCCAAAGGAACAGTTGGGAAACATAGAAGAATGGCACGGAAAAGTAGTGCAGGCTATGATGAGGATGCAGGAAGACGACATTCATGGCACGATGACGATGATGAGACTTTTGACGAAAGCCCAGAGCCAAAATACAGGGAAACTAAAAGTCAAGACAGTGAAGAACTTGCAGTAACTGGAGGAGGAGGCCTTCGGCGTTTCAAAACAATAGAGTTAAATAGCACCATAACAAACAAATATTCTGAGGCATCTGAACAACAGAAAGGTATGTTGTATTTTGATGAAGAGCCTGAGCTAGAGATGGAGAGTCTTACAGATTCACCAGAAGATAGATCTAGAGGAGAAGGGTCTTCTAGTTTACATGCTTCTAGTTTCACACCAGGTACATCTCCTACTTCAGTGTCATCACTTGATGAAGATAGTGACAGCAGTCCTAGTCACAAAAAACTGGGAGGGGAGAGCAAGCAACAGCGCAAAGCCAGGCATCGGTCACATGGTCCTCTTCTTCCAACTATTGAAGATTCTTCAGAAGAAGAAGAACTACGGGAAGAGGAAGAACTGCTAAAGGAACAAGAGAAACAGCGTGAATTAGAACAGCAACAAAGAAAAAGTTCTAGCAAAAAATCTAAAAAGGACAAGGATGAACTAAGAGCTCAGAGAAGAAGGGAACGTCCAAAGACTCCACCAAGTAATCTTTCTCCCATTGAAGATGCATCTCCAACAGAAGAATTACGACAGGCAGCAGAAATGGAAGAGCTGCACAGATCTTCCTGTTCTGAATATTCACCTAGTATTGAGTCAGATCCTGAAGGATTTGAAATCAGCCCAGAAAAAATAATAGAAGTACAAAAAGTTTACAAATTGCCTACTGCTGTCTCTCTATACTCACCAACAGATGAACAACCAATTGGACTCCCAAAAGAAGAAAGTGTTCAAAAGACATTGAAAAGTGCCGAAGAGGTATATGAGGAGATGATGTATAAGACCCATAAGTCCAAGCCATTTCAAATTTCAAATGAAAAAGATGAAGTATTTGAAAAAGAATCTTTATATGGCGGAATGCTAATAGAGGATTATATTTATGAATCTTTAGTAGAGGATACTTACAATGGAACTATTGATACTAATCTTGTAATGAGACAAGATGAGAGCAATGAATATATACAACAGAGAGGAAAAGAGAAAAAAATAAGAGCTTCAGAACAGATCTATGAAGAGCCACAGAAAATTACTGATCTACAGAAAGACTACTATAGTGTTGAGACTTTACATTCTATTGTGCCTCAAGAAGATATTGTTTCTAGTTCTTATATTATCCCAGAAAGTCATGAAATAGTTGTATTAGACAGCACAGTAACTTCCACCACTGAGGAAAAGCAGTTGTTAGATGCAGAAGCTGCTTATGAAGAGCTTATGAAAAGACAGAGAATGCAGCTAACCCCTGGGTCCAGTCCAACACAACCAACTTCAGGTTTCGTTCCCACATCTGATACAAAGGTACCTAGTGTTGGAGAAATGGTCGATAGTACATCTTTAACATCAAGCACTACTTCAGCAATCTCAGATGTATCACCTGTCAGTAGCACAGCACTTTCTATTCCAGATGTTAAAATAACACAGCATTTTACAGCAGAGGAAATTGAAGATGAATACTTAACAGATTATGCCAGAGAAATTCAAGAAATAATTTCTCATGAAACATCAATGTTGACATACTCTGAGACATCAGAAGGTGCTGCATCAGTTTTACCTTCTGATACAGCTTCCTTAACATCATCCACATCTTCGGTTTGTACCACAGATAGTTCATCGCCTATAGATAGTGCAACGACAGGTTATGTAGATACAGCAGATGCTGTAAGTAAACTAGCAGATTCTGAAGGTGTCAGGATAATAACCGAAGTTCCCTTAACATCTACTAAAGAGTACTCTGAAGTGAGCATGCCTTATGAATTTATTGCCGAAGCCACTAAAACGCCATCTGTAGCATCAGATATGGAAAGTGTGGATCAAGCTGCAGTTTGTTTGCCTGAAACTGCACCTTCAGTAGTGGCAACTACAGTTATAAAACCCAAGCAATATGCAACTGATACCTTTGATACCTCCAAAGCAGAAAAGGAAGCAGCTAGAAAAATGAAAAGTACAGTAGAGGCTGGCATTGTCAAAATTCATCATGAAGATTCACACAAAGAATTGGGTGTTGATATATTAAGGATTAATTTGACTAGTGCTACATCTGAGCAACCACCTGTATGTATAGTGTCAGTACCAGTTACAGAGCCTGCATCAGAAACATCTTCTGTACCTACTCCCAGTGTTGTAAGTAAGACCAGCATGGTCTCTGTGCCCTCCTCAGCTCCTGCTGTAACATCCAAAGTATTCTCGCTTTTTAGAAGCTCTTCTTTGGATTCTCCTGCACAACCTTCTCCACCCCTGCCTCCTCCTCCTCCACCACCTCCTCCACCACCATTACCTCCACCTATTTTACCCAAGCCAGCCATTTATCCCAAAAAGAAGTCACAAATTAAGACCCCAGCAGCAACAGCTCCCACAGTGGTACCTTCAGTCACAAGTGTTCCAACACTAGAGTCCACAGCTGTATTAAAGAATCATGTGGTACCTATCACAAAAACATACACCCCAACACCACCTCCTGTACCACCCAAACCATCCTCCATTCCAGCAGGGCTTGTTTTCAGTCACAGGCCTGCTGAAGTCACTAAACCTCCAATTGCTCCTAAACCAGCAGTTCCTCCGCTCCCAATAGCTGTTCATAAGCCAGCAGAAACACAGCCCAAACCAATAGGTTTGTCATTGACTTCAAGTATGACTCTGAATTTGGTCTCTGCAGCTGAATACAAAATAGCGTCTCCCACTTCCCCTTTGTCTCCACACTCTAACAAATCTTCACCAAGGCTGACAAAACCCTCACAGGAAACCTATGTTGTCATCACATTGCCATCTGAGCCTGGAACTCCTACAGAAGCTATAACTAGTCAGGCTGTTACCAGCTGGCCTTTAGAAGCACCTTCTAAAGAACAGATTCCCCAGCCTATGCAACCAATTTTTACTCCATCCATGAAAACTATGGAAATTCAAAGTATGGCAGATCAGAGTATGTATATTTCAGGTGCTTTGCAAACTATTCCTGTCACAACACAGTCAACTTTTGAAAAAATACCTAGTTCAAAACCAGAAGTAGTAACAACAGAGGTAACCAAGACCTCAGTGTCTGTGGTTAAGGGCCCAGTGCCTGGTTTTGATTTAGGTAGTGTTGCTATTACTATACCTCCAGAGCCACTACATGTAGTAGATCAACCCAGGTATAGAGAGAATGGAAGATTCCATCCTTTGGGTGATGTCATAGATCTTCGCACTTTAACTAAGATGGATATTGAAATGAGAGACAGCTGTATGGATCTGTCTGCTGTTTCCATGGACGTGAGAAGGCAAATGCCAGCAAGTGATCCATGTGGGCGGCCAGTAAGTACTGTCCAGCCAGCTATAATAAATCTTAGCACTGCGTGTGTTGCCGATCCTTCTCTGTCTGTCGTCACTGAGACAGTGACTGTAATGACCTGCACTGCCACTGTAAGCTACACTGCCAGTACGGACAGCTTTGTGGATCTGGGACATGCGATGACAACGCCGCTTCAACTAACAACATCAAAACATTTTGAGCCTGCATACAGAGTAGCAGGCAGCCAGGCATTCTCTGCAGGTAGACATGAAGTGCCAATAAATTTATCCCTAGGTACTTCAACACATGCAGTGACGTGGGCTACTACAAGGCCTGTTACTGTACCACCTGTTGGTGTGACAAATGGTTGGACTGATCTCTCCACTTCTCAGGAGCCGATGGAGAGTGGAGCAGTTGACCTTAGCACTACAAAATCCCACAGAACAGTAGTAACAATGGATGAAACTACTTCAGGTATCATAACAACAGTAATAGAAGATGATGAAAAGCCTGTGGATCTGACTGCAGGGAGAAGAGCTGTCTGCTGTGATATGGTTTATAAATTGCCATTTGGTAGGAGCTGTACAGCACAGCAGCCACCAACTACACTTCCTGAAGATCGTTTTGGTTACAGAGATGACCATTATCAGTATGATCGTTCAGGGTCATATGGCTACCGAGGAATGGGAGGTATGAAACCATCTATGTCTGACACAAATTTATCAGAAGCTGGACTGTTTGCATACAAAAGCAAGAATAGTTTTGATTATCGAGTTGGGGCAACTGATGCAGCAGTAGATCTTACTTCTGGAAGAGTTACTACAGGTCAGTATGACACAGCAGCAGATCTTTCTTTGAAATATAATTTTGATGTTCCTCACCTCATTTCAGGATGATTTTTTAAATTATTTTTCCCCTCCTTCTGTTGTTTTGTTTTCTTTTGGACAGTGTGACAAATTATTCTGGATTACACATGTTTTTCATTTCTTCATTTTACATATGTGTTTTGCACAGAGGTGCCTGCATGTGCCTGCATGTTCAGAAATGCTGTTTCCTTCACATCTAAAGTAGATCATTAACCTGAAGATTTGCATGCAGTTTCCCCTCCCCATTTAATTCATCAAGATGGGATGACTTTCAGAATCCACAAAGCAGCATTCTTTTGTGGGACTGGACTGTAACTTTGCCCTGTAATTTCAGGTGAGGTTATGGATTACTCAAGCAAGACTACTGGTCCTTATCCAGAGACTCGGCAGGTGATTTCTGGCATCGGGCTCAGTACACCACAGTATTCCCAAGCAAGAATGGTATCATCTCTGAGTTCCCAGTTTGGTGTTGGAAGTGTTTTAAGATCATCCAATGGTGTTGTTTATTCTTCAGTAGCAACTCCAATCCCATCCACATTTGCCATCACGACTCAACCCGGTTCTATTTTCAGTACTTCTGTCAGAGATTTACCTAACCTCCAAACAATTGACTCGGTGCCCTCTTTATCAACTTTGCAACAGAATCAACCGCTCCCAAGATCATACAGTTTCTTGACAACAGTGGCAGCTGAAAAAGATAGTGCAATTACTGCCATTGATATGGAGACAGGGTTACCACCTCTTACTATAGAAACTATTACCACTGAGCCAACCAACTTGATACCTGCGTTAACTACAGCATCTGAAGTTTATACAGATGTAATTGAAGATGAGGTTGCTCTTCTCATTGCCCCTGAAGAAGGCAAACAGCAGCAGCTTGATTTGGAGCGTGAACTTCTTGAGCTTGAGAAAATCAAGCAGCAGCGCTTTGCAGAAGAGCTGGAATGGGAACGTCAGGAAATTCAGAGATTTAGGGAACAAGAAAAGTTTATGGTGCAAAAAAAGCTTGAGGAGTTGCAATCCATGAAACATCATCTCTTATTTCAGCAAGAGGAGGAACGACAAGCTCAGTTTATGATGAGGCAGGAGACATTAGCCCAGCAGCAGTTGCAGCTTGAACAATTCCAACAACTTCAACAACAGCTCCACCAACAGTTAGAGGAGCAAAAAATTCGTCAAATATATCAGTATGGTTACGATCCTTCAGGAACTGGCTCGCCACAAACTACCACAGATCAAACACTTTTGGAAGGACAGTATGCAACCACAGAAAATGGCCAGTTTTGGCCTACTGATGATGCAACCACTACGGCTTCAGGAGTGCTGGGTATTGAAATTCCACAAAGCCAAACATGGTATACAGTTCAGTCTGATGGCATTACCCAATACATACCTAGGTCTGGTATCCTAAGCTCTGTTTCAGAAATGTCTCTCAAGGATATTGATGTTAGAGAGGAGAAGCAATTGAAAAAGAGAAGTTCTATGCCAAAATTACGTGGTCCATATGAGGAGCTTGAGGAGACCCTGGAAGAAGAGCCCCGGTGCTTCAAAAAGATAGTGGACAGTGGAGTGCAAACTGATGATGAAGACGGAGCAGACAGAGGTTACACAAACAGGAGACGGAGAACTAAGAAGAGTGTTGATACGAGTGTTCAGACAGATGATGAAGATCAAGATGAATGGGATCTTTCTAGCAGATCCAGAAGGAAGCCTCGAGTAGGGAAATACAGTGAGAGTACCACTGAGGCAGACAAAGCTAAACAATTCTCCAAAGTATCTAGTATTGCAGTTCAGACAGTGGCAGAGATTTCAGTACAAACAGAACCTGTAGGAACAATAAGAACACCTTCAGTCAGGGCCCGATTGGATGCTAAGGTTGAAATCATAAAGCACATTTCAGCTCCAGAAAAGACATATAAAGGAGAAAGTTTGGGATGTCAAACAGAGACAGAGTCAGATACTCAAAGTCCCCAATATCTATCAGCTACATCTCCTCAGAAAGATAAAAAACGCCCAACACCATTAGAGATAGGATACTCATCCCACCTTCGTCCAGACTCCACATTGCAGGTAGTCCCTTCCCCTCCCAAATCTCCCAAAGTTCTCTATTCACCCATTTCACCTGTTTCACCAAGCAAAGTTATAGAGTCAGCATTTGTACCCTATGAAAAACCCATCACTGATGACCTCAGCCCTCAGAAGATGCTGCATGCTGACATTGCCAAGGTTCCTCCATCAAGCCCAAAGGCAGCAAAGATGATGCAACGCTCTATGTCTGATCCTAAGCCCCTGAGTCCCACAGCAGAAGACAGTTCCAGAGCTCAGTTTCAGTACACTGAGGGTTTCATGGTAAGAAGTATTTGCTTTCTTTTTTTTTTTTTTTTTTTAATATGCAATTCTACAGCTATCAGTACAGCATGAGGGCTGACACACTCATTTGCAATATCTGTGTATGTAGTCTTTTTGCACACCTTGCTGAAAGGTCCCAAGGAATGTCTGCTGTCTAAAGCAATGGTTATTTGCTTCAGTGCTTTGCCTTGAAATAGAGGAATCCATATTACAGTCTTAGTAAGATTCAGAAAAAAACACAGCGAATTCTTGTTCAGAATTTGGAAGGCACTTTATGTTTTACATGGCAATTAATTGCCAATATAGTGGTTACCGCCAAGTCTTCAGAAAATGAAAGGCATTTTCTTTCTAATTGTACAACACCCAGCTCTTGTGGCACAGTCTGTAGTGCATTTTCCTTGAAAGTACTGCATGTGCCTTCTGAGACGCAGCTAACACCAGATTTATAACTACCTTAGTTAGCTGTATTTTTTGACCCTTGTGAGGTTTCTTGGCCGTTTGTGATTCTGTGAGTAATCTTGTGTCCCAATGTGTACATCTTTTATCTCTCTCAGACCAAAAGGTCTCATATCACAAATCCATTTTTTTTTTTTGTTTTTATTTTGGATAAGGAGGATTATCGAGAAGTTATACAAGTGTTGAGGGCTGTTTCTTATGGGGTCAGAGGAGGAAATTTTGAATAAGTCTGACATCATCAGGATTAAAATTTCTTGTTTCTGCAGTATTCCTTTTCCTTGAGTAGTAAGATTCTGATCTGGGAATCAGTCCATTATTTATGAATAAGAGGAAGCAGTCTTGGCTAAAAAAAAACCTTTATAATTTAACACGTTCTTGGCTGTCCTTTTGTCCAAGTGCATTCTTTTCTGTCAGTTGCAGGATCAGTATCTTATTTGTCAGAGCTCTGGAAGAGTTGCCATTCGAGTTCTTCAGCAATTTTTATCTTTTATGTTCAGTTGTCTGTGAATACGTGAGTGATTAGTACAGGCTAGATAGAATGAAGACAGTTTGTTCTCTATGTTTGATAATTTGTGGTGGCTTTCAAATGCAGAATGATCTGGTTGTACCCTCCAAGGCTCTTATTGTAGGCAGTTTCTGCAGCTTCATGTATTTGTGCAGTTATTAAATGCTTCCTGTGCTGTTACTGCTTGGAAGACAGTACTTGGAAGTTTGAAGGCAAAACTGTAGTCATGGCATTGGCACTCCATATCAACATCATTCCCTAATGCAGGATTAGCACAGTGGGGGAAACTGTAGCATGAGCACTAAAGTTTCATGTAGAGGGTTTGGAACAGCATCTTGAAGACCATTGCTCATGAGTTAGAAAGTGTTGGGTTCTACTAGATACTGGAGAGCAGGTATAATATTGTAAAATAACTGTCAGTGTAGTGAAACTATTACTGAGGACAAATTATTCAGTTTGCTTATTTCATAGATATATATATTTGATATGAATTGTATATTTTGTATCATGGATGATAAATTCTATAAACAGCTGATTGTTTAAAGGCCTTTACAGGAGAGTTTGAACACATACAGTATTCATTAATGAGACATGGAAACAAAGGGCTTGTACATCATTGTTTGGTTTTTACCCACATTTATTACAATTTTGCCTTGAGCCCAAACAGTAATGAGCTATATTGTTATTAGCATGCAGCCATCAAGCAGCAAATAGCCCATGTCTCAAAGTACTCACAGTCTAAATAGATAAGGTGGACATTTTTATGGAACAGGAGGTGCAAATAGACAAGTGCAAGGAAAGTAAAAAACTTCCCTGCATATAAAGTGGACTGCCCTAACTGTGTCATATGGCATATGGTGAGGAAGCTGCTCTGTAAACCTCCCATGACCATCATGGCTGCTTCCAGCTCTGATGTGATGTTAAGCATGAAGTCTGTTATACCCTCTGTTTCTGGTAGAGTTTTGTTAATTAAGTGTCTGAGGTTCAGTTAGCTTAGGCAGGGATTAGGTACATGAAATTTAAAAGAGGAAAAGAGATATATGACAAAAAAAGAAAATATTTAGAGTGACACTTACAGAAAGTAATCTAATGACCTCATCAGCATCTGGAAATACGGGCGTAAGTTGCTTTTGCAGTTGCTGTATCAGTTCTCAGTTACTCAGTCCAGTTATGTTGTGAAGGAGGGATTTGCAGTGTAAGACCTAAATGATCTCCTAGTGTCCGTGAGACTTTTAGTATTCTCTCCAGCATGGCTATGTTTGTTTATACCAGCGGAGAACCTGATTTTAGGACAAGAGTGGACAGTGATTTCTTTTTTTGTACCTTTTGTCACACTCAAAAGTTCTTCCTGAAAGTTAGCATACACACAGTGTCACTGCTGACAAAGTGTAAACCTCGTTGACATTTTTTCAACTACAGAACTGTGTTGTTATATCAACATATCGTTGTTATACTTGAGTTTAAATACAGGATTGCTTTTGGGTTATCCTGCTCAGTATCAAAGTAAGATGTTTCCTCAACTTTAAAATATTTTTGGCACTGGGACTGTTTTTTCATTCTTTCTTTGTACAGTGCCCACAAGAGCAAAAGTCCTTGTCTGTTAATTCTCTGTGTACCCCTTTTGTGCCTCCTGACTGGAGAGCTCCTAATTGCCTAATTATAAAATGGGAAAGGTTGAAGGCATCAGTTATGTCATTCAAAACAATGAAGTTCAGCGCAGAAAAACTTGTGAAACAGCTCACTCTGGAAAAGAGAATTTACTAGAGCTGAACATAAAAGAATAAAATGGAAATGAAAGATTGGTCTTTCACTACCTTAGGGAAATGGAGTGTGCATATGAATATTTTTTGCATGGATGAATATCCCATCACTTTTTTAATAGTTCTTGTTTCAGGATTACATCTTTGTCTGCACTCATACACATTTCAGGCGAAAAGGGTGTTCAGGTGTTCATGTATATGTTTCACAGGCTTGTTTTTATGACAGTTTATCAAAAAAGTTGATCCTTATGCAATCAGTGGGACTAAAAGGGTAAGAATAAAATTGGTCTTTTTCTAAAGGATTACAATGAAATGATACCTTGTCCTTCAGGCAATGCACTTTCATCATTCATGTACTTCTTCCATTGAAAAATATATTTATTACAACATTTCGAGAAAAAAGATTATGGAGACTATGACTAAGATGATTAAATTATGTCTCTGTGTTTTAGAACTGCTGCTTTAAATATAATTTTATTCTTTAAAGCACCTTTTATAGGAAGTTATTACAATGTTTTATCTAATCTATTATAAGTGAAAGGCTGAAAATAACCTGGCAGCTAATCACATAATAATAAGTATCCAGATAATATTGCTTTCAGTGATGGCACATTTAATTTTCAGATAACAAGTTATGTGTTTCATGGGTTTATGAAAGGCAGGTCCTGCTTGACTAACCTCATCTCCTTCTATGACAAGGTGACCCATTTAGTGGATGAGGGAAAGGCTGTGGATATTGTCTACCTGGACTTTAGGAAAGCCTTTGACACTGTTTCCCACAGCATTCTCCTGGAGAAACTGGCTGCTCATGGCTTGGATGGGCGTACTCTTTGCTGGGTAAAAAACTGGCTGGGTGGCCAGGCCCAAAGAGTTGTGGTGAATGGAGTTAAATCCAGTTGGCAGCCGGTCACAAGTGGTGTTCCCCAGGGCTCAGTACTGGGGCCAGTTCTGTTTAATTTCTTTATCAATGATCTGGACGAGGGAATCGAGTGCATCTTCAGAAAGTTTGCAGATGACACCAAGTTGGGCAGGAGTGTTGATCTGCTGGAGGGTAGGAAGGCTCTGCAGAAGGATCTGGACAGGCTGGATCGGTGGGCCAAGGCCAATTGCATGAGTATTAATGGAAGTTTACTTTCCGTCTGCCAGCTGGAAGTAGATATCTTAAGTCAAATTGGTCACTGTCAAACTGGAAGGCAGTTTTAAGTGTGTCAAACAAGGGTTTGTCATAAGCTTGACTCTTTAATAATTCAGTTGCAATTTAGGGTATGGATAAAGCACTCATATAGCATCTGCAGATCAATATAGGAAACACAATTACTTTGGAAAGTAGAATTGCAATTCAGAGCAATGTTCCAAAATCAAATTCAGTAATCATAGAGACACTGCAGGTACAAAAGAAAAAAAAATATTCAGAAATGTAGCTGTTTAGGCAATACCAGTACTGAAATGTTCAAGTGTAATAGCAAAAGTTCAGACTTAATATGACTTAAAAATATGAAGTGCTTGCATGAAAGGCAGTGATGTTCTTGGGAAATGCTGATGACTTGTGCATGTGTAAGATAAGTGGTGTAACTGTTCTACCCTACTCAGTGGCTGGTGAGACTTCAGCTATAATACTACATGCAGTTTAAGTCATCACCACTTAAGAGTTAGAGAGACTGAAAAAATTCAAAGTTGAGCCAAAGAGGATAAAAGATTTAGACAGCAAGACATTGGTTGAAAGGCTGAAGGATCTGGCTGTGTTGATCTAGAAAGAAGACTAAAGCTGGACAGGTAACAGTCTTTCACTGTGTTAAATCTTATTGTATATAGGACAGCTACTAACCATTCTTCACGTCCAGTGGAGGCAGGAAATGGATTATCTCAATTTGTGGCCTGCGATATTTAGTAGATATGAACAAAAACTTTATAAATGCAATAGCACAAATTCCTTAGAATCAATATATTTTAGTGAAACTATGTTATA